CATGTCACCAACACCAATAATTTCTTGAACTTCTAACATTTGGAAAAATAACTTATAATAGTTAAACATTGTACTGCCTTTTTATCTAAAAGGATAGAAAAAATACCAAGAGGATCATGGTCAAGAAACATAAATCGAAAAAGAACACAAAACACTATAAAGAAAAAACTAAAGATTGCGAAGCCGTGCCCCACCAAATACCTTGTGTGAACTCAGTCATATTATGTGCCTGCTCCCTGGTGGATAGTTGTTTCATTGGCAAGCATACCACATCTTCTTATTTTTATATAAGGTTTTCTGGAAGGGTCAGCAGTTCCTACTCCACTTGTTACACCAACCATGTAACTAATGTTAATACATGTTAAGTCATTCAGGTGTTACGTATCATACAATAGCGATGGGGATTTTCTCTTACTAAACTCAAAGACATTACCAAATTCATAAACCATCAGTAGATGTACATTCTCTAGCCCAGATACTTGATCGAATTAGTAATTGAAAAAGACAAGACTTTAATTGACAGAAACAATATACATATTTGAAAACACGAAATACAACACTTACAATTAAAAGAAAACTAGTTGACAGAAACAATATATATATTTGAAAACACGAAAAACAACACTTACAATTAAAAAAAAACTAGTTGAAAGAAACAATATATATATTTGAAAACACGAAATACAACACTTACAATTAAAAAAACAAAAGGTTTTAATTCAGGTGCTCTGGAAGGGTGCTATTTTCTTAAATTATCAATTTTATGCATAATTTCAGTCTTTCACAAAGCTGAGTTGGTGTTGTTCAATTCAAATACCACACATAAGGTAACAACACGATATCTTTTATAATGTGTAAATCTGATTTGTCTTTTATCTAATGAATAATGTAACCTATGCAATGATTTCTAGAACTTTTAGAATTTAGAAAAAATAAACTTATATTAGTTTTAAACATTGTACTGTGTCATGGTTTAAAAGGAAGCGTCATTGTCTAAATGGAAGGAGAAGATGCAAAGGGCTAATCAAGAATCATAAAAGACAAAGGACGAAAATACACACAACAGTCCACAAAACACTATGTAGAAAACTAAGCATTGAACAACACGTACCCCCTTTAACACCGATGGTGAACTCAAAAAGGGTCATCAGTTCCCGATCCACTAGTGACGCTACTGTTAAAATACGTTGACAAGTCAAATCAGATGATAACGCATCATACAAAAGTGGATTGGTACATGTAAATATACATGCCTTATATCACAAAACACATAGATTTCTCTACATCCGTGAGATTTACAAATGGGGAGTGAACCAAGGAAAGTGATAAGGGTAAAATACAGGATCTTGTGAAATTGTATTGCAAAAAGTGCAATTGTTGTCTTGGAAGCCGATATCAAAGCTAGCACTGGTGATGATTGGTGATACTGATCCACAAGAACCAGGTAAAATGATGATGGGAATAATATTCAACATCTATTGGAGGGATGAGACAAACAACTTTAATGATGGTAATTAATAAACGACGGGTGTTTCTAGTGGAACAGGATCTTCGTACTCTTTCCGGAGCATCTGCGATCAACCCCAGTTTATGGTGGGTTTTGTGTTGCTTAATCTTAAGTGTCCTATGAAGGGCTTTGTGAACTTGTTTGTCTATTCGTCGTCTTTCGTTTTTTGCCATGGGGTTGTCAGTTTCTATCGACATATGAGTTTTGAATGTCCCCTTGGTATACTCCGCCTGTTTTGGGGTACTCATTTGATCATTGCATCAACCCCTGACTTAATAATTTACCAGTAATGCATAGGTTACGTTCATTGAAGTTCACAACGTCACTACAGACACGGGCATAGCGAACGAGTTGTGATATATAAACACCATAAGAGGGTGCCAAAGGAACATCATCGTCAAAAAAAAGGAAAATTAACAATAGGGAACGAAAAATCGTCCCTGTTGTCGTAATTTTGTGTGTAGAGTTTCCTGTGTAAATCTGAATTATTTAAATCTAGAAAAGGACAGTTATTATCATGTATATTTGATTTATATAAAGTAAGTCCATTGAGGTAAATATATCACCAAGATAACGGTAAGTGTTGTTGAATTTATCAATTAAATGGAATTTAGACGGGTCTTTACTGAGTTTGGGCAAAAACTGTGACTCATAACAGTACAAGAACAAATCTGCTATTAAAGGGGCGCAATTGGTGCCCATATGAATACCTTCAACCTGTCGATAAACTTTATTCCCGAAATGTAAATAAATGTTGTCAAGGAGAAAATTAACAGCTTCAATCATCTCATCACATCTCCAGTTCGTATATCTAGCATATTTACCTTTCTCATTAGAGAAAAAGGCTTTAAGTGAAGTGAAGCAAATATATTGGTAATCAAATTTTTCAAACGACCATTTAATTAAATAGAACTTTTGTTGGATAAGATTGTGTGGAAGTGTAGTGTAAAGAGTGAAAAGTTAAAACTGTCAACAGAATCAAGAGGACAACCAAAAGCACTTAATTTATCTAAAATATCCAAAGAATGTTTTACACTCCAAGTATAGTTAATTCCACTATTCTCATATGTTTTATGAAAAAAGTTAATGAAAAGTTCTTTGATAGTAGTTAAGGAACTAGTTAAAAGCACTGAAAGATTAGTTGTAGAACACTTACTAGAGGCCGAGATGAAACGATATTTTACAGGTTTTTTGTGTAGTTTAGGTAACCAATACATAGTAGGGACCTTCAAATGTTCTGAAGAGGCCTTAAGTTGTGATGTGGTTATGATATGATTGTTTACTATATAACTCTCAGTGGAGCGCACGGACCTGAATGTAGAAGAATTGATAATTTCATTCTCAAGAATTTCCGTGTAGTATTTACGTCATACCATCACCACATTGTTGGCTGCTTTGTCGGCTGGTACAAACACAAACCGCTTTGCGAGTACTTGAAGTTTGTTTCTTTTACTAGAAATAGGCGTATTATGTACTCTTTTATTTATTTTTCAAAATGTGATTTTCGAATATCAACAACATTCATACATTTATTTGATTAAGAATCGAGATTTTTTATCAGATTTTTCCCGTTTACACCAAATTTTACAATACGATAAAAGAGCGTCTTTTATTACCCGACGAAACTGTTCCAATCCATCTTAGATGGAGAACGATGTTTTGGTCCTTTGAACTTTTTTGTATACCTCTCAGTCTTGAACGATTAATAACATGGCCATAGGGATCATACTTAAAATTCGACAATTGACAGTCTCGTGTTTGGGCAGTATTATTTTCTACACTGACGTCTGATGTTACTGACGTATAATTTAAAAAAAAAACTTCTGCTGGTTTTTTGAATGTATATGAAATAATAGGTGGTTCTGTGTAATCAAAATAGGAAGGTACAAAGTTTTGAATGGTAGAGTCATTAAATATACTAGATAAGTTGATAAAATCAGTATTTCTGTTAATATATCTAATTTTCAGAAAATGCCTTTTTTATGATCTTCAGGTTTATCGATACGCATGAACAGCCTATTGTCTCATTGGCAATCATACCACATCTTCTCATTCTTATATGGTCATAACAAGCTGTAATTATACGCCTTCATTCATAGATTGTCTGAAAAACGAGATTGTGTCACACTTCTTGAAAATATCATGTAATTTATTAATTATATTTGACCCAGTTGACATAATAATTGTTGCCTACCATTGTTTTTAAATATAGATAGGAGATCGTTGTGTATGATTTATACGATGTTTAATTCGTTGATTTCGATTGATACGTTTGCCACGAGACCTATTATATTACCCTATATAAAAGAGATATGACCCGGAATGCGAGCTAGAGGACAATGCATTTAGATTTTGAAGCTTTATTTAGGAACTTATTTATAATTGCTGGCCAAAATCATGGGAACTACGTTCCCATTCGCAAAAATACCATCGCTGACTAAACCATCCTCAGGTAAAATGTTGACAACAAGTCTGAGGCCAATGGTTATATCGAACAGAAAACCACGTACAACATGGTTTAAATCTAACCATAAACCATTGTTGAATAGACGAAGTGAGAAACGTTTACGTTTGATAATTCAGACATTTGGAAACTATTTAGCACAACTTCCATATGGACATTCAATTAATTAGAAAACAAAAAAGGCACGTAAACTTCTTTGTTTACTTCCTACGGTGTTTTTATCCTTCAACAGGAATTTCGGTACCACACATTACTCGGAAAAAATCTTCACTAAATTCTTTCTTAAATACAAAGACGTTTTGAAGTTAGGATGTACCTGTAAAAATGTTATTACAAACGGATGAGAACAAATTAGAAATTATTTTACATGTAATAGGTATGTCGACCCGGAAAACGGGCCCGTCGTTTCTGGAAAAAAAGATGTATCAGAAATACCTTTATAATTTGAGATAAGTTAAAAGTTTGAAAATATTGTCCATGCAGTGCTGTGAAGAATAACAAGTTTGTTTAGAATAAAAATTTTGTGACGTAGCATTAATGGCATCATACATGTTACACATGGCAAATCTACCACAATAAATTTTCCAAATTCCCCCAACACGCTCCAGCGACGACTACGATGTTGTCGAGTTAAGAGATCATACATGGTAAATCTACCAGAATACATTTTCTAAATTCTCCCAACACGCTCCAGCGACGACTTCGATGTTGTAGGGTTAGGAGAATTTAAGTAACGTAGAGTTGTGTTTTAAATATTATAGCATATTATGTCTTTCACAGGTTCTTTTAGCTTTCAGGTTATGGTAATATTTACATATTTAAGTACCACATTTTAACATAGTTGAAAAAGCAACCTTTAATTTCTTGTACCAACACGTCTTAGGAATACACCAGCTTAATTTCTCTGAACTAGTTCATTCGGAAGATATTCAGTAACCTTATAATATTCTATTTTTAGTAGTATAGTTCTGACGTAAATTTAAATCTTTAAAAGTATATAAATACAGGTAAAATTATGTTCAGCATATAGTTTAATCGACTGACAGATTTGATACAAAAGGTATGATTTTTCAAGATTTTTATCTTTGCATGATTTACTTTTCGTTAGAAGAGTATGAAAATATGTACACCTAATTTTTAATAATATACGATTTTATAAACTTTAATTTCAGTTGATAAATTATTTTTTTATATATATGACAAAGGAGTATTCTTTGAATCTTCCCGATTTTAGAAAATCGTCGTTTGATATTGCGTATTGGAAAGGAGGAAGGGGAAGGGGGTGTACGTAACTCTTTGAAAACCTGTCATTGTAGGCACCTTCAATATACATGATAAAATTCCTGATACAAAAAGTTTGATAAATAGCATGTTCGTGCAAACTCGCCCAATTCCAAGCACGATATCAAAAGGTCGTCCACAAATTAAAAAAAAAAACTTAGCACAAATCTAGCATCAATAGCAAATTCATAAATGACTTAAACATGTTAAACATTAAGATATAACAAAAGACAAATACCGTTTTTAATCTCGATTAGTGGAATTTCCAACAAATACCGGTTGTAATAGATAGTTAAAAAACACATTTCAATACAAACTGTAATAATGCATACTGTACAAGGGATGATTGCTTGCATGAGGCAAGCTGGATATGTACTTAACCTGCTGATATTGAGTTGTGTTGTCCTAACTCTATATATATATATATATAAACACTCACTATTCCCTTTTGGAATTTCAGCTACAAAATGGCCAACCCTGGAGGACCAATAGAAATTTGTTTCTCCTTTGATGCGACTTGTTCTATGTATAAATATATTGACGAAGTTAAGGGAAAAGTCCAAGACTTAATACAACGTCTGCAAGCAGACATTCCTGGAATCAGAATAGCAGTGTTTGCGCATGGCGATTATAGCTCTTCCACCTATGTCACAAAACACATCGATTTCACTACAGACGTAGCAGAATTGTGTAACTGGGTAAAGAATATTAAAGAGAGCAGAGGAGGAGACTGGGACGAATGCTATGAACTCGTGTTGCAAGAAGTTCAGTCGTTGTCATGGACACCAGGATCAAAGCGAGCATTGGTTGTGATTGGGGATGCCGATCCCCATGAACCGGGATATAGGTGTGGCGGGAAAACTTATAACATAGACTGGCGGGCCGAAACGTATAAACTTTTAATGATGGTAAGTTAATAATGAATTTTGATATTGGAATCCTTTATCCTCTAAACTTATTTATATTGCTTTTTGAAGAACTTCCTGACTTCTAGATATCATTTCATATTATCAAGTTTGATATAAAAGTAAAATTATGAGAAAACTAATAATAGGTTGCAAAATAAGATAAAAATGAAACTGTTTAATTCCAAATAACCTGAGTTTATTAACTTTATACAATTTTTCCAGAATGTTACAATCTACGGAATTAAATGTGGGGATGCTGATTCATCGAAAGACTTTTTCAACAAGATCGCCAAGGCAACTGACGGAAAATTCCTTACATTAAATGACTTTACTAACATTTTTGATCTTATGATGGCTATATGTTACAGAGAACACGATGAAACTCTATTGCAGGTAATAGTAATGTTATTTTTACAGTGGTAAATAAATAATAATACAAATATTTTCTGCAATCAACAAAAATTGGAGAAATCATATTTTATGAAACGTTTCATTAGTAAAGCACATGGATGAATTGCTATAAACAAAAACGCTATACACATAGTAATTCTACATTTCTAGGACATAAACCCATAATGTTATGCTAATACTTCACTATAGTTTAACATGTTTTATCTTAAATCCAGAATTATGAAACAGAAGTAAGAGCCAGAGGTACAACGGTTCACAAAGATTTAGAAGCATTATTTGGCAATCTACGACATACCGAAACAGAAGACATGGAAACAACCCCATCAACACCAGCTCCCTTTGTAAAAATACCATCACTGACAAAACCATCATCAGTTAAAATACTGAAAACAAGTACTAATCCAACAGTAAAACCAAGCAGCAGTTCAAGAACAACACGGTTTAGATCTAAACACGAACGAATGATGAATAGAAGAAACGAAGAACGCCTCGAAAAGTACAAGGTACATATATATACATTTTGAACATTTTAAAATTGTTTAAAAAATTAGTAAAAGGATATTTGGATTATACATCTTTTAGACAGAAACGCAACGACACACACAAACCAAATGACTTCAAGCAGATAGAGTTCAACATTATTGTCTTCGTTTCAATTATAGGCTTCCTTTTTTGTACTTATCTTCTTTTTCTTGTTTTTTTAAATTTTTGTTCCCTTCTGATTTTTTACCTTTCGTTGATATTATTTGTTGCATATAGTTAAAGAATACCATTCCATGGACGTTCAAACGAATTGGTCATTATATAGTTTAACACAATGTTTCCTTTCTTCTTTTTTTCAGCTAAAAAATCTGCCGAAACTGAAAAGAGAAAACGTTACAGAGACAAATTTTATGCTCAATGATGCCCCATGGTCAAGATGGCAATTAGCAATCACACCCGAATTTCCAGAAGGAGCAGAATCTCATTTATGGAAAAAACGTAGAGGCGACTTGACAGGATATCGTAAAACAGAAATATGTAATGGACAATATCAGAAACCAGCACTGTATGAATTCGCAGTTCAAACGCATGAACATTGTAAACGATATGTTGTATACTGTAAGTGTAACAAGGGGTTCACTTTGGATAAAGGATCATGGGAATCTAGACTATTACATAAAACAGACGTTAAAAATGAGGTAGAGGATGTTTTAAAGAAAGGTTGTCGTATATTTGTTAGACATTTTCCATTGAGAAAAACATCTGCGACAACGAACAAGATGGCCGATCTTGGGCACTATGACTACGCATGGAGATGTCAAAGAAGTGAGAGAGTATCCCCACGTCAACTACAAGTACTAAATTAGAGAACTAGTTTATATTTAGACAAGAAGGAATATATTTTTACGTTTTTAATATTTATGTAAGGAATATAATTGCATGAGTTGTTATAACGGTATACTTTGTATCTGTTATTCTTATGAATATTTATCAACAAATGAAAAAATAAATATGCTAGTTTTTACAATGACAAGTTGTATGAATATCTTTCAGTTTGTTCACGTTCAATAGAAGTTATTCAATTTAAATATGAAACATAAGCACACACACACAAAATATCCTTTTCCTTTAGACACTTTAAATATATTCGTCATTTGATTAACCATGTTAACAGCTCATGTCACCAAACCAATAATTTCTTGAACTTCTAACATTTGGAAAAATAACTTATAATAGTTAAACATTGTACTGCCTTTTTATCTAAAAGGATAGAAAAAATACCAAGAGGATCATGGTCAAGAAACATAAATCGAAAAAGAACACAAAACACTATAAAGAAAACTAAAGATTGCGGAGCCGTGCCCTAACAAATACCGCGTGTGAACTCAGTCATGTTATGTGCCTGGTCCCTGGTGGATAGTTGTTTCATTGGCAAGCATACCACATCTTCTTATTTTTATATAAGGTTCTCTGGAAGGTTCAGCAGTTCCTACTCCACTTGTTACACCAACCATGTAACTAATGTTAATACATGTTAAGTCATTCAGGTGTTACGTATCATACAATAGCGATGGGGATTTTCTCTTACAAAACTCAAAGACATTACCAAATTCATAAACCATCAGTAGATGTACATTCTCTAGCCCAGATACTTAATCGAATTAGTAATTTAAAAAAACAAGACTTTAGTTGACAGAAACAATATACATATTTGAAAACACGAAATACAACACTTACAATTAAAAAAAACTAGTTGACAGAAACAATATATATATTTGAAAACACGAAATACAACACTTACAATTAAAAAAGAAAATAGTTAAAAGAAACAATATATATATTTGAAACACGAAATACAACACTTACAATTAAAAAAAAACTAGTTGACAGAAACAATATATATATTTGAAAACACGAAATACAACACTTACAATTAAAAAAAAAACTAGTTGAAAGAAACAATATATATATTTGAAAACACGAAATACAACACTTACAATTAGAAAAAAAAACTAGTTGACAGAAACAATATGTATATTTGAAAACACGAAATGCAACACTTACAATTAAAAAAAGAAAAGGTTTTAATTCAGGTGCTCTGGAAGGGTGCTATTTTCTTAAATTTCAATTTTATGCATAATTTCCGTCTTTCACAAAGCTGAGTTGGTGTTGTTCAATTCAAATACCACACATAGGGTAACAACACGATATCCTTTTCTTTTATAATCTGTAAATCTGTTTTGTCTAATGAATAATGTCACCTATGCAATGATTTCTAGAACTTTTAGAATTTGGAAAAAATAAACTTATATTAGTTTTAAACATTGTACTGTATCATGGTTTAAAAGGAAGTGTCATTGTCTAAATGGAAGGAGAAGATGCAAAGGGCTAATCAAGAATCATAAAAGACAAAGGACGAAAATACACACAACAGTCCACAAAACACTATGTAGAAAACAACCATTGAACAACACGTACCCCCTTTAACACCGATGGTGAACTCAGGTGCTTCAAAAAGGGTCATCAGTTCCCGATCCACTAGTGACGCTACTGTTAAAATACGTTGACAAGTCAAATCAGATGATAACACATCATACAAAAGTGGATTGGTAAATATACATGCCTTATTTCACAAAACACATAGATATCTCTACAACCGTGACAGAGATTTACAAATGGGGAGTGAACCAAGGAAAGTGATAAGGGTAAAATACAGGATCTTGTGAATTTGTATTGCAAAAAGTGCAATTGTTGTCTTGGAAGCCGATATCAAAGCTAGCACTGGTGATGATTGGTGATACTGATCCACACGAACCAGGTAAAATGATGATGGGAATAATATTCATCATCTATTGCAGGGATGAGGCAAACAACTTTAATGATGGTAATTAATAAACGACGGGTGTTTCTAGTGGAACAGGATCTTCATACTCTTTCCGGAGCATCTGCGATCAACCCCAGTTTATGGCGGGTTTTGTGTTGCTTAATCTTACGTGTCCTATGAAGTGCTTTGTGAATTTGTGAACTTGTTTGTCTATTCGTTGTCTTTCGTTTTTTGCCATGGGGTTGTCAGTTTCTCTCGACATATGAGTTTTGAATGTCCCCTTGGTATATTCCGCCTTTTTTTTTGATACTCGTTTGATTATTGCATCAACCCCTGACTTAATAATTTACCAGTAATGTATAGGTTACGTTCATTGAAGTCCAAAACGTCACTACACACACGGGCATAGCGAACGAGTTGTGATATATAAACACCATAAGAGGGTGCCAAAGGAACATCACCGTCCAAAAAAGGAAAATTAACAATAGGGAACGAAAAATCGTCCCTGTTGTCGTAATTTTGTGTGTAGAGTTTCCTGTGTAAATCTGAAATATTTAAATCTAGAAAAGGACAGTTATTATCATGTATATTTGATTTATTTAAAGTACGTCCATTGATGTAAATATATCACCAAGATAACGGTAAGTGTTGTTGGATTTATCAACTAAATGGAATTCTGACGGGTCTTTACTTAGTTTGGACAATAACTGGGATTCATAATAACACAAGAACAAGTCTGCTATTAAAGGGGCACAATTGGTGCCCATATGAATACCTACAACCTTTCGATAAACTTTATTCCCGAAACGTACATAAATGTTGTCACTGAGAAAATTAACAGCTTCAATCATCTCATCACATCTTCAGTAGGTATATCTAGCATATTTACTTTTCTCATTAGAGAAGAAGGCTTTAACTGAAGTGAAGCAAATATATTTGTAATCTAATTTTTCAAACGACCATTTAACTAAATAGGAAAACTTTTGTTGGTTAAGACTGTGTGGAAGTGTAGTATAAAGAGTGAAAAGTTAAAACTGTCAACAGAATCAAGAGGACAACCAAAAGCACTTAATTTATCTAAAACATCCAAAGAATGTTTTACACGTCAAATGATAGTTCATTCCACTATTCTCATATGTTTTATGACAAAAGTTAATGAAAAGTTCTTTGATAGTAGTTAAGGAACTAGTTAAAAGCACTGAAAGATTAGTTGTAGAACACTTACTAGAGGCCGAGATGAAACGATATTTTACAGGTTTTTTTGTGTAGTTTAGGTAACCAATACATAGTAGGGACCTTCAAATGTTCAGAAGAGGCCTTAGCTGTGATGTGGTTATGATATGATTGTTTACTATATAACTCTCAGTGGAGCGCACGGACCTGAATGTAGAAGAATTGATAATTTCATTCTAAAGAATTTCCGTGTAGTATTTACGTCATACCTTCACCACATTGTTGGCTGGTACAAACACAAACCGGTACAAACACAAACCGCTTTGCGAGTACTTGAAGTTTGTTTCTTTTACTAGAAATAGGCGTATTATGTACTCTTATTTATTTTTCAAAATATGATATTCGAATATCAACAACATTCATACATTTATTTGATTAAGAATTGAGATTTTTTATCAGATTTTTCTCGTTTACACCAAATTTTTCAATACGATAAAAGAGCGTCTTTTATCATGACCCGACGAAACTGTTCCAATCTATCTTAGATGGAGAACGATGTTTTGGTCTTTTGAATTTTTTTTAAACCTCTCGGTCTTGAACGATAATGAGGTCCCCGTAATAACATGGCCATAGGGATCATATCTAAAAATCTAAAATTCGACAATTGACAGTCTCGTGTTAGAGGAGTATTATTTTCTACACTGACGTCTGATGTTAGATCATGTTACTGACGTATAATTTAAAAATAAAACTTCTGTTTTTTATGTATGTATATGAAATAATAGGTGGTTCTGTGTAATCAAAATAGAAAGGTACAAAGTTTTGAATGGTAGAGTCATTAAATAGACTAGATAAGTTAATAAAATCAGTATTTCTGTTAATATATTTAATTTTCAGAAAATGCCTTTTATGATCTTCAGATTTATCGATACGCGGGAACAGCCAATTGTCTCATTGGCAATCATACCACGTCTTCACATTCTTATATGGTCATAAAAAGCTGTAATTATACGCGTACATTCATAGAGTGGGCTGAAAAACGAGATTGTGTCACACTTCTTTTATCCTTCAACAGGAATTTCTTTACCACACATTACTCGGCAAATTCTTCACTAAATTCTTTCTTAGATACAAAGACGTTTTGAAGTTATGATGTACATGTTGTAATGTTATTACAAACGGGATCACATTCTAAATGTCACGGCAATGTGATTACAAACGGGATATCACATCCTAAACGTAACGGAAATGTTATCACAAACGGGATATATCATCCTAAATGTAACGGCAATGCCATAACAAATGGGATATGACATCTTAAATGTGACGGCAATGTTGTTACAAACGGGATATCGCATCCTAAATATAACGGCAGTATTGATACAAACGAGATATCACATCATACAGGTAACGGCAATGTTGTTACAAAAGGGATATCACATCCTAAATGTAACAGCAGTGCTATAACAAACGGGATATCGCATCCTAAATGTAACGGCAATGTTGTAACAAACACGATATCACATCATACAGGTAACGGCAGTATTGTTACAAACGGGATATTGCATCCTAAATGTAACGGCAGTATTGTAACAAACGGGATATCACATCCTAAATATAACGGAAATGTTGTTTCAAACAGGATATCACATCCTAAATGTAACGGCAATCTTGTTACAAACTGGATATCGCATCCTAAAAATTACGGCAATGTTATCACAAACGGGATATCACATCCTAAATTTAACGGCAATGTTGTTACAAACGGTTTATCACATCCTAAATGTAACGGCAGTATTGTAACAAACAGGATATCGCATCCTAAATGTTATGTCAATGTTGTTACAAACGGGATATCACATCCTATATGTAACAGAAATATTATTACGAACGGGATATTAAATCCTATATGTAACGGCAATGTTATTACAAACGGGATATCACATCCTATATGTTACGGCATTATTGTTACAAACGACATATCACATCATACAGGTAACGGCAATGTTGTTACAAAAGGGATATCACATCCTAAATGTAACAGCAGTATTGTTACAAACGGGATATCGCATCCTAAATGTAACGGCAATCTTGTTACAAATTGGATATCGCATCCTAAAAATTACGGCAATGTTATTACAAAGGGGATATATCATCCTAAATGTAACGGCAGTATTGTAACAAACGGGATATCGCATCTTAAATGTAATGGCAATGTTGTTACAAACGCGATATCACATCCTATATGTAACGGAAATATTATTAGAAACGGGATATCAAATCCTATATGTAACGGAAATATTATTACAAACGGGATTTCAAATCCTAAATGTAACGGCAATGTTATTGCAAACAAGATATCACATTCTATATGTAACGGAAATAATTTTAAAAAAGGGATATCACATCCTAAATGTAACGGCAATGTTATTACAAACGAGATATCAAATCCTAAATGTCGGCAATGTTGTTACAAACATGATGTCACATCCTAAATGTAATAGCAATATGGTTATGAAACTTGTTAATTCAGAATACACGCCGATAATCTGTATAAACAGTATCTTATTCAATATATTAAATCTTGCAATATAAGATCATACAGTGGGAAGAAATAGGATCCTGACACAAGCAACATTGCTGATTCTAATATGTCTTCAAAAATGATAACTTGAAAATAAAAATACAACATGCTCTGTGAAATTCAAAGTTAGTCACAAAAATAAATAAATAATATATAGTATACTTTATTTTTGGTTAAAATATACTATGTATGTACCAATACGAAACGTCATTGATAATGAACATACATATTGTGGTGACATGAAGGCAAACTTTGTAAAAGACAATGTTGAGGTCAAAATTACATATTGTTTCGTTCTTTGCCCATCGTAAGAAAAATACCAATCCCCGTAATCCCTTCAGTAGTGTTAAAATGTGATTTAAATTAGGTTTGCCGTGTACGATATGTATTTTAATTTTTTTGTCTGGAATATTGGAGCTAAAAAGTTATAAATAGCGTACTTGTTAAAATGAATGAATAGCGTGCAGCAGTGTTATTCATACTTCAAATAAAAATTAGCCAATGAATTAAGATATTATATACATATAAAATAAGGAGACGTGGTATGATTGCCAATGAGACAACTATCCGCGATTGCCAAATGACGAGCATTTAATGAACTATAAGTCACCGTACGACCTTCAACAATGAGCAAACCCCATCCCATATTGTCAGTTATTAAAGGTCCCTACATAACAAAATGAAACAATTCCCACAAAACCATATCAATATTGATTACAAAGCGATAAACAAAAAACAAATATAAAAGACTGCAAAGAACGACAACCACCGAAACTGCATGCTTCTGAATTGGGACAACCAGTAAGAGAATGATGCGGTATTGACAATATTAAGATCATTGGTACAATGAATTGAATATTGCAGTCTTAGTGTTTCGACCTATACATTTGTGTTCATGCGGATAAGTACAGACTCAGGTGCACGGCTTGTTATTGGTGTTTGGTCGTTGTTATTAAACATATCATCATCGTCCGTATCTGTCTCTGGATCCGGTTTCGGGTCCACCTTAAAACATACAAACAAAACAAAATTAACATCACAGTGATAAAAATTCCAATTTCATTGAAAGAAAGATTATCTAGTAAAGTACCTGCAATTAAGTGTTACGAGCTTATTGCATGAAACAAATTCACAAATATGCTTCTTTTTTATATATGAAGAAAAAGAGATCATACTTCCACGCTATTTCGGTCTCTGGTGGATAGTTGTCAAATTGGCAATCATACAACATCCCTTTATTTTTATATGAAGACAACCGAGATGCTGAATACACATCAATGAGAAATCCAACAACACAATTTAAGAGAATCCTAGAAGTCAACGCTCGGTCATCAGTAATAGAGAAGTGTCTATTGCAAGTGTTCATTTAGACGTTCTGGTCAGGTATATCCAAAAACAAATTATTTTTTCATATTTGCAGATTTGATTTGTTTTGAATAAAATATAATCCTAATATGTATAAGACCTACTTAAACATTCAGTGAGAATTGGGTTGACTATGATATCCGACTACTGTTCCTGTTATTATTATTATTTTACAAGAGGAAATGACACGAGGTGACAAAAGAAAAGTAATTACTTAGGGAATGTTTAACGACATTAACTACTAACGAGGGTCTCGCGTGGCTCATACAACTAATCGCAATACATACAAATCTTTCTATAATTACAACATCAAGCGAGAATTGTCTTGAATATGATGTCCGACTATTACTAAAATGGTCACCATTGCTATAGAAACAGATGAAAAGTTAACCATTGAACCCTACGAGAAAAACCTGAAAGTAGCATTTACTCGCTTAACATGGTAGGTGAAACTTTAATGGTATGTTCCCTGTCATGTGCCAATGTGGCATTTGTCTTTGGAATTTTGGAAATGGTCGCCGTAACCATGGAAACAGCAAAAATGTCAAAATATTTCAAAATGCTCCAAACTTAATGAAACTTATGAGGTAATGAAGTACTCGCGCTGTCTACTCATATAACTTATAGCTTTAAAAGGTACTTTTTATATACATCATTGCCTATAAACACATACAGAGAAAAAAAACACTGATCTTGTTAACGGGTAAATATCAGTAGAAATCTGAACATATCTCACCTTCGTATGTTTGTCTTTATATCGCTTCCATAACTTAAAAGCTAGCAATGCCAAAGCCACAAGAACAATTATTGCGACAACGACTCCTATTATAGTACCGATACCCCCACTGTTACCTGCAAAATACATGTAGCTGTAATTATAAGATATACATACAATACCTGTTATTGCAAAATTAGTATAATAAATTCTATCCGTAGCAAAATGTGAATTTTCCACTTAATTAAGACATTCTACGTTTATTTTAATTTGGTAAGCGGCTTTTACCCTTTTAAAACTGAAGTGAAGTGAAATCATTGTATTCCTTCCTTCCCACACGCATAATGAATTCGCCGCTTAGTTTATATTTTACAATTAGACCCCATTATTTTCCAATATCGTAACTTTGAGATACTTTTTAGAAAGGATATACATGTAGAGAAAAGTGTTGTGTATTTCTATAGCCAAGGTTAGTTTTATAACTTACCACTCTCGGCGGCGCTATCCCTTCTGTCTTTTTCAGGTAGGATAAATTCTGTGACGTTCTCCGATATAATTGTAAAATTATCATTGCAGCCATATGTAGCGTTCTCCTTACCACAGGTTAAAGTTAACGTATCAGTACCGTCAATCGCTGAAAATTATAAAAACATTTTTGTTTGTAAAATATACTAATTAAAAATAGATATTTTGAACAGTTTTGCTCTAATTGGTAATTCGTGGATTTCATAAAAAAATATATTGCAATGTTTTTTTTAAAGTTTCTAATGAAGACTCTTAGTCATAGTTTTGTTTGACAAGACTTCAATAGTCCCATAAACAAGTTATCAATAAGTCCATATAAACCTTCAGACATATTTGTATCCCGTAATAATGATTATAGAAGTGTGCTATTAAGTTCGATGCTAGGAGCTGTTTAGCTCATGGTCGAAGACCTCCGAGCAGCTGTCGAAACGTTATACAAAGTTATGATGAAGAGCAATAAAAGGACTGTTCTGTGATATCCTTTTCCTAGTAGGTGCTTGGGTTGTCTCATTTACACCTGTTTTACAACAAAATATTTTTGAAAATTTAATTTTATTCCTAGTTTAACATAAGTTCGTGTTGTCTAACTTTAAGGTTGTTTGTTGCACATGTTTATAGCTTTGTTGCTATTTGTGTTCTGGCTTTACTTTTATACATCTCCGTCCTGTTTAATCTTTTGATTTTTTTCTTCTCTTTGTAATACAATTACTTTGAAGTTTACTCTTTTAACATACTTGTTGGTTATTAAATGTCCCTGAAGACTTAAACTTTACTTTTAACCCATATCCAACAGAAGCACGATCATGACAGTAATTTCATAAAACAAATCTTAATAATATTGAGAATGGAAATGGGGAATGTGTCAAAGAGACAACAACCTGACCAAAGAGCATAAAACAGTCCAAGGCCACCAATGGGTCTTCAACACAGCGAGAAAATCCCGCACCCGGAGGCGGGCTTCAGCTGGCCCCTAAACAAAAGTGTGTACTAGTTCAGTGAAAGTGGAAGTCACACTAAACTCCGAAACATATAAATGAACTAAAATAAAAAAAAACGTACAAGACTTATTCTCTGTGAGCGCTAACAAAAGCCAGAGGTTCCTGACATGAGACAGGCGCAAAAATGCGGCGGGGTTAAACATGTTTTGTGAGATCTCAACCCTCCCCTATACCTCTAGCCAATGTAGAATAAACAAACACACAGCAATACGCACAGTAAAACTTAATTTGTTTTGTTTTGTTTGTATGTAAAAAAAGGAGATGTGGTATGATTGCCAATGAGACAACTATCCAACCAAGTTCAAATGAATTGGATGTAAGCAATTATAGGCAACCGTACAGCCTTCAACAATGAGAAAAACTCACACAGTATAGTCGGCTATAAAAATATAAAACAATTCAATTGAGAAAGCTAACGGCCTAATTTATAAAAGAAAAAATTTACGAAAAACAAATATGACAGACATGAACTAACGACAACCACTGAACTACAGGCTCCTGATTTGGCACCTAAATAATGTGGCGGGGTCAAACATGTCTGTAAACGCTCAACCATCCCCTAACCTGGTACAGTGGTGTTACAACATAAGAACAAAAACTCTAAGAATCAGTTGAAAATGGCCTAACTCATCAGATCGATATAGTTGTTTTACCTTGTATTTCGTTTTTTGTTTGCTTTTTGTTACGTTTTTGTCTAGGTTTTTGTTTATTTTTCTGTAGGTTTGTTTTAAGTTTTTTATTTTTATCTTTTCCTTCAACCCCCCCCCCCCCCTCCCCCCCCCCCCCCAAAAAAAAACCAAAATAAAAAAAACACCTTTATTTGCATTGAACAACATTGGGTATAAGTAATATCGACAAAATACAAACTATAACGGGTTAAAAAAAACATAAACAAATTTATATAATACCTTCTTTGATTGATATAAAAACCTGTTTTAATATTTCTATAAAATTATGCTTACATAGATACAAGCTTTGATCCTTGCACATTAGTACGTGTTAAGGGATACCGGTTAATAGAAAACTATTATCTCCATACAACTGTGTCAAATGAGCCAAGATATTCTTATCAAAGCAAGTAGAACATTTTTAAACGGAATCAATATTAGAACTGATTCAATGTATTATTTTTAAAACAGTCGAATATGAAATGACGTTACGCAAAAATTCATTATTTTACCTTGTACTTGAATCCAAAAATACCCATTTGACACTTCCAAACTGTTATCAAGCCGGAGTTTTATGCGATTAGTTGTACTTATATAAGCCGTTCGTTTCTCAAACGCATTTTGATCATCACACGCAATGTCGAATTCTGATTCATCATCTTGTATGTGTAGTCTTTGAGCACAGTCACCAGTGGTAGAATTCATTTTAAATCGGACGTCAAAAGCAATTAATTGTATTTGAGAACTTCTGCTTGATGTTATTGAACAGGAACATCCAGATGTTAAAGAACAGTCATTCATAGCGTTTGGATACTCTCCATTCCATATGTATAATGAAGTCCCAGACGCATTACAAGAACACATGCTACAAATTTCTATCTCTGAAAAAAAATAAAAAGTTTATCTATAATACAACGAACACCGCTGAATAACAAGTTTATCTATAATGCAACGAAAACCGCTGAATAACAAGTTTATCTATACTACAACGAACACCGCTGAATAACAAGTTTATCTATACTGCAACGAAAACCGCTGAGTAACAAGATAATCTATAATGCAACGAACACCGCTGAACAACAAGTTTATCTATAATGCAAAGAACACCGCTGAATAACAAGTTTATCTATAATGCAACGAACACCGCTGAACAACAAGTTTATCTATAATGCAACGAACACCGCTGAATAACAAGTTTATCTATAATGCAACGAACACCGCTGAATAACAAGTTTAGCTATAAGGCAACTTACATCTCAAAACATTCGTAGTGCAGTCGTGGCCAAAACTAGTCGTAGTAGAAGCGTAGGAAGGTCGTAGTAAGGACGTAGTAAGATCGGGTTGGGTGTAGAAGCATCATATTGGAAAATGTGGTGCGATCGGGAAGCCAATTAATTGAAAAGATTTCGCTGCGACCTTACTACGATTTCAGTGCGACTATCCCGATTTCACTACGTCTTTATAACGCTTCTACTACGATATTGATACGCTTATACTACGATGAGGAAGACAACGCGCTTGTACTACGATACTACTACGTCCCAAACATGATAATTGCACGACCTCCATTGATATAAAAAACAGATGCAATAACTTCTAACTGTAGCTCAACCAAGGACACACATGAGCAAAACCTACTTCTACAATCTTTAATTCAGCTGCACTGTATCGATTTGGCTGATCAGGCTACACATTTTTTGTTATAAGAATAGGAAAAGACATATACTAGACAGCATATGTCCTGTTGGGTGCGTCCTTGGCTTTCTGTTGAAAGAAGACTCCAGTTTGGGTATTACGGCCGACTTATGAAAGAATTAAGGATGGCGGATCAACAGTCATTCTTTAATTTTTTAAAGATGCCTACAGAAATGTTTAATGAACTTTTGAACAGAGAAAGAAGACAGACACCCGATTCAGAAAGGCACTAGATCCCGGTCTGCTATTACCTTTAAAGGCACTTAGCTTCTTTCGATAGGTATCCAACCCTTCAATACGATTTCAGAGTCGCGCGCAATACTATAAGTACTTTTATTACTGAGGTTTGCCAGGCAATTGTACAGGAACATAAAGATGAAGTCATACCCTGTCCAACAGAACCAAATGAATGTCGAGCTATTGCCAAAGAATTTTAGAGAAGGAACGCGCCACACGATCGGGGCGCACTCGATGGAAAGCATGTTGCTATTAGAAGCCGGGCCTAAAAGCGGATCATTGTTTCATAACTAAAAAGTTTTTTTTTCATTAGTGATCCTTGCCTTGGTGGGTGCAGACTACAAATTTTTATGGATAGATGTAGGATGATACGGTTCTATGTCGGACGCCCAGATTTCACCGCGTCATAATTAAAGGAGTGTTTGGAAGACTAAGACTATTGGATTTCTAGAGTCAGATCCCTTACCTAATGACGACCTAAACATGCCATACTTCATCTTGGGTGTCGACGCATTTGGGTTGAGAACTTATTTGATGAAGCCATATTATAGATCGTAGTGGGATCTTCATGGTCTTGTTCTAGTGTGACAAGGGCTTAACATAGAGATTATTTACAACTTTTCAATTCTTTCTAAAAAGCCAAATTAAAGTTTATTTTATGCATAAAAGTATATGTAGATCATTTCTAATAAAAACCTTTCTGGTTCAATAAACAGATAATTTTACATGGCTTTTTTTCAATATCACAACCGATGTGTTAGTATTTTGTTGATTTTGTAACATACATATTTGTATGAAAAATTGTTATTCAACATGTCGCTATACATGTATAATCATTAATAATTTACTTACTTACTTTAATCAGATTTTACCTGTATTTACTACCAAGTATATAAGAAAATTTTAATAATTTTAATGATCAATCTACTTCAAAATCAATAAGTGTAAATTTTCTTCAATTTCTGATTTAATGCTCAGCGAACAAGCTAGATAAAACCAAAGACAACATAGATTTTGAAGCCTAATCTAGCATACAAACAAAACACAGAAAATATATAATTGATTTTACAGGTACTTAATTTATATTCATAGGATACGTAACATAGTATTATATATATATCCTTGTATATGCATCTAAAGTAAAGTCATTCAATTGTATCATGTTAAATTCTCGTCATATAAAATTTGAACCGAAATGAATTTGAATTAGTGAATACAAGGTGAAAACAAATTCTTGTTATGATATTATTTAAACGATATATATTATTTTTGTCTGTTAAGTGTAAAACAAAAAATAATTTATGTCTCAACCAACAACAGATATGGCTACATTAGATAGCTTCCTGTAGTAACCAGAACATTTTGACTCGGCTTTCCAAGTTATTTTATACCGCTTTATGTCATTTTGAAAGTTAATGTTCCTTATGTTAGTATCTGGACGCGTTATTTATAATGTCTTTTACTTTTACGACATCACATCCTCGTCCATTAGTGTCTGATGGATAGTTGTCCCATTGGAAATCATATCACATCTCCTTATCTTTATTTTTATATGGTTTAGATAGACCGTTCGCTAACCTTCCAAAGTTATACGGACCGAACTTTTCAGTTTCGGTTTGGTATATATACGTTTTAAGATGACCATTCGGTCGATTAACGGCCACATTACCTCAGTGCATGCATCATTTTAAATATTGTCCATGCGTATCAAATATATATCCATGGCAACATACTTTCACGTAAAACAGAAATTTTTATTATACGCAGCCATATTACGCCTTAATTACAAACCATCATAATACCTTCAATGCAGTGATAGTTTAACTGCATATAATTTGTTTGTGGTAAAAACACTGATTGATTACACTCTTTTATGGTATCATTCCATCCGACAGCTTTCTGACAGGAAACACTTCCGCTACAGTCAGAGTAGATTGTAAGATCTCCATTTGGCCCATAGTAGCGCATCCCACAATCTTCTGTTGCATTGTAGTAAGCACAGCATCCTTCAGAAGCATTCCCGTTTGATGTCTGTATTTGTGGACACCTAGAATCTAACGTCTTAGCGTAGGAATACACATCATGGACATACATTACCTGGCCGGAGAAGCAGGATGGAAACAGAAAATTACTATGTGTGTTGCCGAAACACTCTTCTGATACGTTTGCGACGAGGGTAGATGTGCATATACCTGTTAAGTAATAGGTTTAAAAGAATATTTACTGTTATCTGACACTTGTTTATTGACATTTAAGTGTAAAAATTATAAGGGTTTATTTATTAGTTGAAATTAGACGTTGAACTAGCTTTCAGTAGCTGGGAGTACTCTTACATCGGACCTTTCAGTAGCTGGGACTTACATCGGACCTTTCAGTAGCTGGGAGTATTCTTACATCGGACCTTTCAGTAGCTGGGAGTATTCTTACATCGGACCTTTGTGTCGTTTGTCTCTTTGTTTGTTGGTTTTGGAGTTTATAGAGATCAAAAGGATACATCCCTTTCCAACAAATTCATACAATTTGTTCTTTGTTGTATTGTTACACCCCTGTACCTTGTTATGAAAGGTTTCAAACGCGAAAACCAACGGCCTAATTTATAACAAAACGAATTACGAAAAACAAATATGACAGGCGTGAACCAGCGACAACCACTAAACTACAGTGTCCTCAATTGGTACAGGCACATAAAGAATTTGACGGAGTTAAACATGTTTGTGAGCGCTCAAACCTCTTCTTACATCGGACAGTGGTGTATATGTTACAGCACAACAACATGAGAACAAACTATAAAAATTAGTAACAATTGACTAAACTCAAAAGATCAGCATGAGGCATATAAACAACTAACATAAAACAGTAGAAACAAAGCACCGAAATACTTACAGTTACTGAAGGCCAGTACAAATATAAAAAGATGTGGTATAATTGCCAACGAGAAAACTCTCCACAAGAGCCCAAATGACACAGAAATTAACAATTATAGGTCACCGTACGGCCTTCAACAATGAGCAAAACCCATACCGCATAGTCAGCTATCCAACGTCTCAAAATGACAAATCTTACTCACATGATCCTATCTAAATGATTTTTCATGTTTCCTGTGGTAAATCACGGACTTTACAATGGTGGATGCATCGTTTAGTGAACTTAGATCGAAGTACTTCTAGTTTAATATATACAGTGACTGCCAGATCTGAACTAGAAACTTCAACATCAGTCAAGAATAATATAGTGGAATAATCAATATTCTACGGAAATATCAAATGATATTATTAATTGAAGAGCTTTGGCCTTACATACATCTATTTCTCTGAATTGTAAGTTTATAAATTTAAAAATAATTCTTATGAATTAAATTTGTTTATTAATAAAATTTGTACGTACCAACAGAAACTAAGGCAATGATAATTAACACATCTGACATTTTCAGTAGATTCCATATACACCAATTGAAAACAGGAAGCAAAACGAAGTACATAAAGGTTCTTTGTGCTTTGTTTTGTACATAATGAACGACATATATCACATTACTCCAATAGCTCTAATCTTCACAGAGTTGATTTGTTCACTAGCATGTTGTATATATGATAAATAACGTTATATTTATACTTGTATACATAATATGACAGAAACTATGCATATCGTCATTTAAATTCAATCGACATATTAAGTTTATTTTCTATTTCAAATTCAACAGAAAAAGCTTATTTTATGACTTAAATGCATGCATGCATTTTACCTATTTTTTTATGAAATAAAACTGTACTAGACTTGTTGTTTTCGTGTTCAGTTTATTAATTTTATTCCTTCACTTATATGGGTCATTTTCAAAATTTTCAGTTCACTGATGCTAAGAAAATTATTTTTCAAGGAAAATGCAGTTGTAAGTGTTTTAATGAAAGTTTGTAGAATTTACGAGTCGGAGCATTATTCAGATCTATTTTGATAAAATTAAAATATATTTATGTCAGATATTTGCATAATTAATGGGCGTACAGTGTCTGGGTAACACATTTCAAATGACGTTCCCCTATTTTCTGATTGCCTTGCTATCTGCAAAAGGAACTATTTTAGAATGTTTATGATAACTCTAACGAAAAATTTCAGCTTCTTTATTATTATATGTAACATTTTTTCTACAAACTAAATTCAATCGTCGTGCATGAAATGGATGTCTATCCTGTAACTAGATCAAACGTTAAATTTGGTCTCCCTATGAATATGGAACTATGCAGTGATAATTTTAAAAGAACACAGCACGTTTTTTGCATAACAGTTTAGAGAAAAGAAAATTCAAGACATTTAGTGAAAAAAAAAAGTGAGTACCCTTTTGTCATGTCTATGCTGTTTATTTGTCAAATCTTGATGTTTTAATAAAATCGTTTTCTTACAATTTGATAATTTGGTATTGAACTGAAGGCAAATCATTGATAGAATTCTGTCAAGTCAAAAACTCAGTCAATAATAGTATTGACCAGGCCAGCATTAATACTGGTAAAAACTGGAAAATAGTGGGCAATTGAAATTTTATAAGACATTTCTATAACAAGAGTGCATACGCTGAAATGTCTTGCCTGCTTTACTGACCATGAAATATTTTCTTTTGAAATTTTTAATGATAAAGGTGAAATCAGAGGTTCCACTACATGCAAGTATCACAGAAACTTAACAATATGTTCAATGATCCATGACAATCAAATCAGGGTCAGTCAAATTATGCCAGACAGACATGTATACCTCATTCTATAATCATTCCAATGATCATACACCAACTATATAAGACATAAGATAACCTATTGCTTTAAGTATCCAAGAAAGACACCAAACCATGAAAAGTAAACACTAACCCCGGGACACTGACCAATGAAATTGAACCATGAAAATGAAGTCAAGGTCAGATGAACAATGCAAGACAGACCACTTGAGGGGTATTAACAAACGGGATGCTTATTAACATTGCCATCTGTTCTTGGACATGATTCCATTTTCAAATCGATTCTATATGTAATACTTTTTAAGAAAATGCAAATAAAAGAAATTGTCTCAAGGGGATATAACTCTCAAATGGGACGATGAAATCCTACGCAGAACCTCATCTGGTAATACTTCATGATGAGATCTACCTATTGTCCAAAAAAAGTTATGATATCTTCAAAAACAACGAAAAAGGAGGGGGGGGGGGGGGTATGTCGAAAAAAAAAACCAATAAAAGGGAGATAACTTCTAAACATGCTAAAGGGGATGATGTAATCCTACACAAGAGTCATCTGGTAATACTTCATGATGAGGTATATCGATGGTCCAAATTTGGTCTTGATAACTTCAATAGAAACGGGGGAGGGCATGTAAAACAAATGTTGGAAGAAAAAAAAAAGAAAGACCTTAATAAGCTATATCTAGAGCCGGCATAGTATACAAACAAGGACATAACATAGCTCTATGGAGCTCTTAACCAACATAAATTCAATCATTGACCAATAAAAAAAAATCTACAAAGTGTATGTTCATGACCTCCTCACATAAATGTCACATGTAGTGTCTGCTTGTAGTAAGAAAACCAGGACAGGACCGGTTCAAACAGAAAGATTTTGAAAGCAAAGAAAACTGAGCACCTTATAAGAGGGTCTGGATGGGGTTTCTTTATTTCTGTATTCTTTAATATTTTTTACATAGTCGGATCCAAGAGGCCCTGGGGGTCGGCCCCCCCCCCCCCCTTTTGTGGGAAAAAAATTGGTTGATTACATTGGGAATCACTGAAGCATGACTGGAGCGGCCCCCCGTTAAGTCAGTCAGAGGGCCCCCCTTATAAAATGTTCTGGATCCGCTACTGTTTTATACCATTTTTCACTATTCATTATTTTTTGCCTGTTATTCTCTTTTCTTTATATTTAAGCACCCCATTCGTCTCTATGCTTTATTTTGTTTACCTATTTTTCTCTATTCTTTTTATTATGATTTTTTCCCTTTATTATGCACATTTTGCCCATTATTCTCTATTCTGTAAACCTAATCCACCCCTCTTTAATATAGTCAGCATGACTTTATCAGATACTAAAATCAAGGCTAAAAATAAGGCGTAGGTACTTCGATTCATTCACGGAATCGGGACCCAGTGTCGGATCCAGAACTTTTCATAAGGGGGACCCGCTGACTGACCTAAGAGGGGGCCCGCTCCAGTCATGCTTCAGTGATTCCCTATATAATCAACCAAATTTTTCCCACAAAAGGGGGACACGCTCTTAGAAACGACCGTTGTTGCTACTTTCTAAAGACAACAATGGGACTGTAGTACCCCGGTAGGTATTTAGTCACACCATCTTAAGACGATCTACCCAGAATCCCTCTCTTTGGAATAATGGAGACGCTAACAGCCAGCAAAGAGCCATCCAAGAGCATCAGTGCGATTATGCACTTAACCTAAGGTAAGCAGACGTGTCAATTCTTAGATTGGCGCTGCGAGCAGCCTTTGGTCGAATTTTTAAGCGGGGAGGTCGTTTTTTTTTTACCAAATTAATAAGGGAAGGGGCCAGAACAGCAGTCGACATTTTGACATTGGTGAACCCTGACAGGTCACTAATTTCCAGTGTTTGCTACTCTCAGTTGTTCTGAGGTAGCAATTAACGAGTTTTGTGGGGACAAAAGGGTTGGGTTTGTACTTTGTGACTGTGTTTCAGTCACGAAGTAGTTATTATATCGAGGTATCACAATTAGCCGTTCGCGGGACCCTTGTAGGGAAAGGTCTGAACCCCATGTGATTGATTGATAAATTCCTGGGTATTGGAATTTAGCAGCCGATATTATTAGCAATATTGCCCCTGTTGGTGCTCTTGACAGTTCATCAGCAGAATATATTTTTCATTTTTTTTGTGCTGTTAATTTATTATTGTAGGAGGGGAGAAAGAGTAATTTGGATTTATTTTGTAACTTGTTTTCGTCACTTTCAACTTTCAGGGAACTCTCGGTATGTTCGGTGGGAACCCCGAATTGTTACAGTGGCGACGTTGTTGTGTTTGGGGATCTCACATTGTATGAAGGTTTCTATAGGGGAAATTGCAATCGAAAAGTTTCCGTGTATTATATACTGTCAAAACCTGGTAGGTAAAATTGAACAGTTCCAAGGCACCAGTGTATAAATCTGGCATCCTTGAAAATTACTTGCACAACACCACACACGAAAACATTCCAAATCGAACAACATTCACATGGCAAGGGTGAACATTAATTCGGCCACCTTTGAGGAGCTGTTATCCATTCCTGGGGTGGGCCCTAAAATTGCAGGCAAAATATGGGAATTAAGGGATGATCTAGGGGTCCTTGACATTGAGAACCTGAGTCAGATACAGTATTTAAGGTTGACACCAGCCGCCCAGGAGGTCATGGATTTTAGTCATTTGTCTGATAATAGGGGGGCTTGTGGAAGGGGAGATCCTAGGGCAAAAGAGAAAAAGGGGCCCAGAGAAAAAGTGCAGCGAATGGAGAGCTTAATACAGACTAGGGGTAGGGGTCCCGGGGAACCAGGGTATGTTACCCCTGGGGAAGCAATTGGTTATGTTGGAGAGGCTATGTCTAGTCCGGAGCTATGGACCCCAGTGCAAATAACACCAAGGGAGGAGATGTCAGTTCGGTCATCCTTCACGCATTTCGGGAGAAGCCAGGACTTTCAGGAATGTGGGGAAATTCACCGAGGTTTCGGGGAAGATTTCAAGTGGGGGATATCTGGGTTGCGTTCAGTATCGTAGCGGCTACGTAGTGCTACGTAGATTTATGACTATTGAACGAGTAGCTAGAATAGCTGCTATCAATATCTATGTAGCAGCTAGGCTAGCTACACGTTCAATAGTCATAAATCTACGTAGCCCTATGTAGCCGCTACGATATTGAACGCAACCCAGGAAAGGGGGCTAACCCCACTGAAGAAAATAGACAGGGGGATAGGCAAATGCCCCTGTATAGTCAACCCAGAGATTATAGGTACGAGGGCGAAACACCTTGGGACAGTAACCCTGGGGATACCTACAGGGAAACGGGGGGCCTAGCCAACAGGTATACTGAAAAAGAGACACCAAGGTTTCGGGACTTTAATGGGGAAAGTGAAATCCCAGTATCGAGGCATGTCAGTAGCATAGGATACCAAGGGGCAACAAGACGGGGAATAGGGAAACACAGAAGCTCACAACAAGATTCTTTTGAGCGGCAGGAGGGAGTTGGGGGGGGGGGGCATACACCCAGAGAGTCCAAGACCCACTAAGGGGGCCCCAGGGGGTAGACCTCCAATCCTACAAAGAACCCTCAGGTACGATGGAAAAACAAATTGGCAGGCCTTTTATGCCAAATTTTCCCGGCTGGCTCAGGTAAGCGGGTGGTCCCCCAGTCAGTGCAAGGACCAGTTGTGTTGGTCTTTGGACGGAAAACCAAGCGAGTTTTATGCCTTACTGGTAGAAAGGAGGCATGACCTGACCCATGAAGACCTTGTTCATAAATTGGCCAAACATT